TGATTGATTGTTTCTCTAGAGAAGACTCTTATTTGTTTGCTGGGTTCATGTGGATTACTTCCAGTACACTGAAAATTGTCAAAGTAAGCAACGTTCATTTTGCTTTAGATGGAAAAAAAAAATCTTGAATTGTTTTTCTCCAAAACCTTAGTTTCTTCTCTGCTGAAGAAACAAAGGCCTATACATCTGAAATGGCCTGGGGTGTGTAACATCAAAATGCATGTGATTTAGAGGACTTTTTCTTGCATGGCCTGAAATGACCAATAATAGCAGTGTATTAATATCAGAGATTAGTGTCCGTGAAAAAAAAGAGCTATTATATCATAACTTGGGGATGTTTATGCATGTCATCTGCATCCAGGTTTCTTAGCATTTACATTTCAGGTTGTAGCTCATAAGATGCGTTCGGAGGGAGAATCCCTACTGTATGCATGGTCTCGCAGCACTGATCCCAGTACAGGTAATAATGAAAGTCACATGCTGGTTCAGACTCGCTGTGTGTGTGTTTGCAAGCAGTGTAGGCCTTAGCCAAGAGTAGGGATATGCCGGTATCACATTTTCAAGTTGCGATTAATTGCTAATGCTTTTATCACGATATGCGTGCGGTATTATCACGATATTGAAATTGAGTTTTTAAAAAAAAAAGTACTGTCATAATACAGTATAACAGGTTTAATAACTTTTTTCTTATAACAAAAATAACTGAACATTTAAATGCAATAAAGCAATACAGAAAAATGTATAAAGTTACAAGTTTTACACAGATTAAAGTGCAAAAGAACTATAAACTTGTTTACATCAGAGTGCGCACGCATCTTTCATGCAGCATACGGCGGTGTTGTGCATTTTGACCAGTTGATGGGAAAAGTATTCTTAAAATGCATTAAAAATTCGGAATAATTTGTAATATATAATTATTCACAGTATTTAGAAGTGCCCACGATAACAATATCGTGCATATTCATTACCGTGATATATCGCATTACCGAATACCGGCACAAGTCTAGCCAAGAGTCACTGCTGTTTCACTACCATCCTGTGATCGTCAGCAGTGTTATTCTGTCTTTCCTGAACGCTCCCTCTTGTTTCTGAATGACAGAATAATGCTTAAAGACGTGATTGCTGTGCTCTCATTGTGGAAATGAAGGGTTTTAATGACCCTCAGAGGCTGAGATTTTCTTACTGTTTGTTATGCAATAACCTTGATGGGAAAACAAGAATATTTCTCTTAAAACAATTAATCCGTTCTTGTCTAGAGTGTTTTAAGTTTTAGGTAAGAGTTTTAAAACGTTGCATTTGTGTTGGTTCTGTTAAGTGGTTGCACAGGTTAATTAAAGTAACATTGTCTTATTTCGATCAACATTAGGTGATTTAGGATGTTGATGCACAGAAACGGTTATTTTTTGATTGTGAAGTTTGATTGTGCACACTATAAAGTGCTGATTGAGATTTGAATGTTTGTGTAGTTTGCTGAAAACATTAACTTATTTAATGAATGAATGTGCAGGGGATGTTGAAATCTGACCGGCTGTGTGGATCTGGTTATAGCTTTATACAGATGACTGTATTTATCCCTTCAATTCAGAATAGTGCATAGATTTGTGTATTTGAAGGTCCGGGTTGTAAGCAAGAGAAATGTGCGGCGTTAAAGGGTTAGTTCACACAAAAATGATAATTAGCTTGTGTTTTACTCACCATCGAAGCATCCTAGGTGTATATGACTTTCTTCTTTCAGACGAATCCAGTCAGAGTTATATTAGAAATTGTCCTGGCTATTCCAAGCTCTATCATTGCAGTCAGCGGGTGTTGCAGTTGAACCAGTGTATATGACTTTCTTCTTTCAGATGAATCCAGTCGGAGTTATATTTAAAATTGTCCTGGCTATTCCAAGCTCTATCATTGCAGTCAGTGGGTGTTGCAGTTGAACAGTCCACAAGTCGTCAAATAAAGCTCGCGCATTCATAATAAAACGTGCTTCACACGGCTCCGGGGGGTGAATAAAGCTCTCCTGTAGTGAATCCATGCGTTTTTGTAAGAAAAATATCCATATTTCAAACGTAATAAACACTTTTCTCTCACTTCCGCTGACTGTCATACACTGAAGCAGTTCCGGCGGATGACGTGTGCGTGCAAACTTTTTGAGCAATTGTGGATTGTTGACCAAGAGTTTAGATATTGAAATGAGAATATATGGAAATTATGTAAATGAATCAATGGTATTAACATGGCACTTAATGATTAATATTTACATGTTGACATGTATCGCTCCTTTGTTGATTTTGATTGCTTCCGTTGTCCTCATTTGTAAGTCACTTTGGATAAAAGCATCTGCTAAATGACTATATATATATATATATACACACACACACAATATTTATTTATTTATTTTACTTTATTATTATTATTTTTTTGTTAACGTGTTAGCTTTCATTTAGCATCGATTGAAAGATAAGGGAGATATTTTATTTGTTGGGTTGATGGAATCAAGGCAAATTAAGTTGTATTGTTGGGTCTAAAGGAATCAGTACTGCAAGTCAAACAGCAAAACCATGTACACAGAAAAATATATATGTAAAATGTAACGCCGAGATTCTCCAAAGGATACTGTTGTTTTACAGGTCTGTTTGAATGTTACCGGGTTGCCCTTTAAACTGGTCTCAGACCAGTCTTTCTGACCCAGACTTTGGCATTGACCCGTCCGGTTGCCCTGAGAGCAGCGTGTTTCTGTTTGAGAGGGAGAATCCTATCCCAGCATCCTCGAGTGAAGGGCACGGTCTCAGTAGCCTGCGGGGTAATGAGTGAACTGTTGCTGCCACAGCACACTGTCTGCACTGCTGAGTAATGAATCTCCACATGCTGCCCCACTCTCTGTGTGTGTGTGTGTGTGTGTCACAGATACTTAGGGAAACAGAGCCGGAGGGGGGTGTTTTTGTGAATGATCCTTTGCTGCCTGCCGGTGACAGCTGTGCGCTTGTGAATGTGGGTGTGTGTGTGAGCCGGGAGAAGCGCTCTGATC